GAAGACTGTGTCTGGTTGTTTTAATTTACTGTTTTTCTAAATAGGTCAAATATTTTTTATATATGCTTTATTATTTGATTTTTCTTTTCTAAATTTCCTGCTTTGTCTTTTAATTTCTTGTAACACCATCTTACTAATTTGTAGTAGCTTAATGTACAAAGGACAGTCACTATTTGTAATATATATTGCAAATATTCTCAGATTTCTTCATCTTTTAATTTTGACACTAAAATTTTATTTTTTTATTGAGGTGTAATTAACGTAAAGTGTCATATTAGTTTTGGATGTACAACGTAATGATTCAACAATTCTATACATTACTCAGTGTTCACTATGATAAATGTCATTACTGTTTGTCACCGGAGAACATTATCACAATATTATTGACTATATTTTCTATTCTCTACTTCACTTTTCATCTCCATGCTGTATTTATTTTTATGACTGGAAGTTTGTACCTCTTAATCACTTGATCTGTTTTACCCATCTCCTCCCACCTCCCCTGCAACAGCTGCTAGTTTATTCTGTATTTTATGTTCTGGGGTTTGTTGTTTGCCTGTTTCTTAGTTTTGTTTTTTCAGATTCTACATATAAGTGAAATCATGTGGTATTTGTGTTTCTCTGACTTCACTTAGCAAAATACCCTCTATGTCCATCCATGTTACTGTGAATGACAAGATTTCTTTTTCTTTTTTCTTTTCTTTTTTTTTTTTTTTTTGAGGGAAAGAGAGAGAATCAGAGCATGGGTTTGGGGGCAGAGAGAGAGAGGAGGAGGGGGGAAAGAGAGAAAGAGAAAGAATCCCAAGCAGGTTCCACACAGTCAGCACAAAGCCTGACATGGGCCTTGAACCCATGAATTGCGAGATCATGACCCAAACCAAAATCAAAATTGGACGTATAACTTGACTGAGCTACCCAGGCACCCCTAGATTTCATTCTTTTTTAAGGCAGAGTAATATTCCATTGTAAATATATACTACATCCTTTTTATCCATTCATCTGTTGATGGACATTTAGGTTGCTTCCATATCTTGGCTATTATAAATAATGTTGCAGTAAACAGAGGTGCCTATATCTTTTCAAATTAATTTTTTTGTTTTCGTGGATAAATACCCAGCAGTGAAATTACTAAATCATATAGTAGTTCTGTTTTTAACTTTTTGAGGAACTTCCATATTATTTTCCACGGTGGCTGTGCCCACTTACATTCCCACCAACAGAGCACAGGGTTCCTTTTTCTTCACATCGCCATCAACACTTACTATTTCTTGCATTTTTTATTCTAGCAATCTAACAGACATAAGGCAGTATCTCATTTTGGTTTTGATATCAAAATTTTAAACTTCCCTTATACTAACTTTCTATTTTTGTGTGATGCTTAAAAAACCTTCTTCAGGGCCGCCTGGGTGGCTCATTCGGTTAAGCATCCAACTTCGGCTCAGGTCATGATCTCATGGTTCATGGATTCGAGCCCCGCGTCGGACTCTGTGCTGACTGCCAGCTCAGAGCCTAGAGCCTGCTTCAGATTCTGTATCTCCCTCTCTCTCAGACCCTCCCCTGCTCACACTGTCTCTCTCTCAGAAATAAATAAAACATTAAAAAAATTTTTTTAAAGCCTTCTTCACTTCTGGATTTTATAAACACTTGTATATGTTGGGGTAATTTTACTCTTCTCCTTCAAACCCCTACCCCCTGCACTGATCTTTCTGAATACATAAGCATACATGGAAAATGCTACCAGATGATATAATTTTTCCTTAAACAATCCTAAGTATTTTAAAGGAATTTAGAGGGAAAATGTAATCTTTTGTATCTACCCAACTGTTTATCATTTCTGTTGTTTTCCTGTGTTTTTGATGTTTCACATTTCCTCCCCATACTATTTCTCCTCACCCAGAAGAACTGCCTTATTTAACATCTCTTCTAAAAGTCTTTTGGCAATGAATTCTTTTAGTTTTCCTTTACTTGAAAATGTATTTATTTTGCCTTCATTCCTGAAGGACATTTTTGCTGGATATAGAATTTTGAAAGGTTTTTCTTGCTCCAATATTTTTTTCTTTTCGATCTGAACTTCCAGTTACGTGTATGTTAGATCCATAGGTCCCTGAGTCTCTTGCATTATTTTTTTCAATTTTTTCTCCAGTTTTTTTTTTTTTTTTTTTTTGGAGAGAGAGAGAGCACATGAGCGGGGGAGGGTCAAAGGAAGAGGGAGAGAGAATCCCAAGCAGGCTCCCCACCCTGCAAGGAGCCCAGGGGCTACATCTCACGAGATCATGACCTGTGTTAAAATCCAGAGTTGGACATTTAACCAGTTGAACCACGCAGGCACCCCCTGCCTCTTTTGTTTTCAAATTAGATACTTTCTAGTGATTTGTCTTCAGATTCACTGATTTTTTTTTTCTCTGTCATCTCCATTCTGCAGTTCAGCCCAGGGAGCTTTTTGTTTCAGTTATTGCGTTTTTTAATTCTAAAATTTCCATTACGCTTTTCTGTGTGTGTGGTTTCTGTTTCTCTACTGAGAATTCCTGTTTTTCACTTCATTTCAGTGTGTTTTCTATAACCTCATTTCTATTCCTTCAGAACAGCATAATTACAATTCCTGCTGTAAGATCTTTGTCTCCTAGTACTCGGAGGCATCTCAGAGCTGGCATCTTTTCTCTTGAAAGTTAGCTATATTTTCCTGGTTCTCTGTCTGTTGAGTAATTTTGGATTATGTTCTGCATGTCGTGCGTGGCGTGTTGTGTGTAGTCTCGGTCGTGTTGTAATGGTCTGGAAAGTGTTGTTTGGTGTAAGCAGGCAGCCATCCCAGTTAAAGTCAAAGCATCAACTCTGTCAGCAATGCCTGGGCAGACGGTGGGTCACATCTCCGCTCCATTCTCTGAACATTTGCTGTACTGTTGGGGTCTCTCCCGCACATAGGCTGTTCAGGCATGAGTCTGACCTGTACCAGTTTTTCAGATCTTTGTTTTGTTCTCTAGATCTTTACTTGTTGATTTAGGCTTTTCCGGTGCACATTTTATTCAGGGTTAATCCTGAGACCTGTGCTAGTGATTCAGGTTTTAGTTCCATTCTCTCAGCCTTTGTTATGTTGATTTGGATCTAGCCTGCATAGTTCAGAGGTTAGGTTGAGACCTTGGTAGGTTCATACATAGAATTAATTAGAGGATCCTCTCCTCCACCATATGTATCTCACATTCTTCATGGTTTTTTTTTTTAAGAGTTGAAAATTATTAGGTCTATCTAAGTTTACTCATTGATTTCATAAAGTATCCCAACTACATAAGAAGACTTAGTTATCATTAAGAAACTGAAGACTGAAATTTTAATTAAAATTTATTGAGAATCTGTTATCTACCAGACTTGTGCGAGGTAAGGGGCACAGCAGTATGGGTTACGCATAGGCTTTGGTCTTAAATACATTGCAGTCTGGTAGGGCAGCTAACTATACTATGGTAAGTACTGTATATAATCACATTGTCCTAGCAAATACTACTGTGTGCTGCCGGCCAGGCACTGCTCTAGGGACTAAGGGTACAGTGGTGAACAAGACTGGCATATAGGAATAAATTTAATAAAACACTTGAATTAATCTGTGAAGGAAATCAACTGAAAAAGTTCTGTTTTAGAAATGCTCTGATTAACTACATGGTTTTCTATAGCAATTTGTATTTGAGTCCCATATTGCTTTATATATATCTATCTGACAGAATTATAAATAGTATTTTGATTCTCTCTTGGTATCTAAAATATAATGAACCTCAACATTAAATATTGAACTTGTTTTGGACCCAATTCATATTACCCTTACAGACCAATAAATTAACTTCACATTCTCAACAAAAGCAACAGGGTGCACAAATTAGCTTTATACTGATTTTTCAATAATCAGTGTGCTGTTTTTAACACTTTATAAGCTTTTTTTAATGCCAGTTTTAAAAATAGATTAAGCTAGTTCCATTAGTGAAAAAAAAAGGAATGTTATCATTTAAATTTTAAATAAAAGAAATGAAAAATATATATTTATCTGAATATTTATCATATCACAGTAACCCTTAGTTATTTTAAAGGTTCTCCTTTGGGAACATGCTTAAACATAAGTTTTATATGAATACTATTGTATGTTTTATCATTAGAAAAAAATGTGACATTTCAAAATTCCATTGATTTCATCATAAAATAGTCCTAGCGATTTATTTAAAATTGGATGCACAAGACCAGAAGAAATTAAATGAGATGTTTGTATAAAAGAATATGTTTAGATTACATTTATTGCCAGGTAGCAAGCCACTCTAAAAGTGAGTGCCTTGAAGTCACACTCCTTTGGATTTGTTTGTGTATGATTCCACAACCTAGACTGTCCTTATGTACTAGTTCTGCTGGTCTGCCCTCGGGTCTCATGCTGCTACAGGTGTCTGGTGTGACTAGAGCGAAAAGGGACCGAGATGGCTCAAGTTGTACAACAGCCTCCTTGGGAGAGTGGGTCTGCGGGGGGCCAGCTGAGCCTTCTTCCTTCTTGTAACTTCTCACCTTTCGATAGCCTACCACAGTCATTTCTCCACTCAAACACCTATTGATTATCGGATTAGCCTCATTGCCCTTATTATTATATTATTTCTGTAGGGGAAAGCCAAGTTATCTTACATTATTTTTACGTGTAACATCTTCTCTGGGAAAAATAGTGACCTAAGTTTAAGAAGTATCTAGTTTTGAAATGGTTTCTTTTGCTAAGCTTTTTTTTTTAAGAGAGAGAGAGCGTGAGCAGAGGAGGGAACAGAGTGGGAGAGGGAAAGAAACTCAGGCAGCTCCACGCTCAGTGAGGAGCCTGACCCGGGGTTCAATCCCACTACCCTGGGATCATGACCTGAGCCAAAATTCAGAGTAGGACACTCAACCAACTGAGCCACTCAGACTTCCCTCTTTTGGCCAAGTCTTTAAAGACTGAATAATTGTTATGTCATGTAATTAGTTTAATAATTATTTATCCCTTGTCTTGAAAACAGGCAATTGCTGGCTACTTCGATATATATTTTGAGAAGAATTGTCACAGTAGGGTAAGTATCTTGAGTTTTCTCATAAGAATTAATTATGTGAAATGCATTTATTTTATTTTTGTGCCCCAAGGTGTTTGATCATAAGCATTTTGCTGTTGTAAGCAATTGGAGCTTGTATTTGATGTAGTAGATTAATGTAGCATGATATTAAAAATCTTGTACTTCATCAGATACTTTTGAACTCTACCAATGCAGGTTGTGTTCTCCACGGGCCCCCAGAGTGCCAAAACACACTGGAAGCAAACGGTATTTCTATTGGAAAAGCCATTTTCAGTTAAAGCAGGTGAGAAATAATAGTACAGGGGGAGAAATGTCTTACTCATTTTGAAGTAAACAGTATTTCTTCATTCTGCACAATTTTTTGTGTGCTCACTGTCTTTGAATTAATATAACAGATGCTGAGGTAAGAGGTTCTCAGAGCTACATGAATTTTAGATAGGATATCATTTCATTAAAGTAGTAATTTAAAGAAAACTCTTTAAATCTAGTTCCCGCCAGTTAAAATGTATGTGACTTACTATGTAGCTTTATTTTGAGTACCACAAATAATTCAGAAAACGTTTCTTTAAGCAGTAACTAGTATTGACTAAGTTGCAAGTATAACTAAAAATATTTTTATTTCCAAAGTGACTAAAGAGAAATATCATCAATAGAGATGAAGTATAAATTAAAGAGAATGCCAGTCAGTAATTATTGTATTCAGTATGTATATCTAGAATGCTCTCCACAGTCTCCCCTGCTCAGATCTTACAGTGTTCAAGGAACGGTCCAATTGTACCTTCCTTTGTTTTACACCTCACTGATTGTTCACTTAGATGAACACCTTTAGTTCTTATATACCTACACCCTTAACTCCACAAGTTAGAACTTGATCATGGAATCTTTTTTTTTTAATGTAAATGAGTTATTATATGTCAGTTGTCCTGTCTCACTTTCACTGAAAGCTTTCTGACTCTATGAAAGCTGAATGTACAACTAACGTAGATGAAAAGATACTCAACATCACTAGTAACTCAGGAGAGGCCAGTTAAAACTTTGTAAGAGTCTGTTTCTTAAATATCACTCCAGGGGGTGGGGGGAACACATAAAACTTAACAGTGCTGAGTGCTGGCAATAATGTAGCCAAATGGAACTTTTAAACTCTTCTGCTGGTAGTCTTAATTGATACAACTTTAGAAAACAGTTTGCTGCCATCAAGTATAGATGTATAAGTATCCGTCACTACAGCCACCTTTTCCCTAGGCACGTGTTCTCAGTGGTCTCCCCACAGCCTGTGTGCAGCAATCTTGACAACAGTACGGTTTGTAGAAGTGAACAGTTGGAGGCAGCCTTAATGTCAGTTAACTCAAGATAGAGAAATATGGTAGTTGCATACAGTAAAATCTCTGTAATAGATAAATCATATATACGTGTCTGTCAGAAGCAACATGAAGCAAAAGAAATTTCAGAAGGATTCCTACAGTGCACTGCTATTATGGAGTTTGAAAACGTGTAACAATTATACATGCACACACATAGTAAAAATAAGCTGCGCTTAAAAATGATAACTGCAGGGGCACCTGGGTGGCTTAGTCGGTTAAGCGTCTGACTTTCACTTAGGTCATGATTTCGCGGTTCGTGGGTTCGAGCCCAGCGTAGGGCTCTGTGCTGACTGCCAGCTCAGAGCCTGGAGCCTGTTTCAGAGTCTGTGTCTCCCTCTCTCTCTGACCCTCCCCCGTTTACGCTGTCTATCTCTCTCTCTCCTAGAAATAAATAAAAATTAAAAAAAAAAAAAAATAACTGCAGACTCCAGTGTAGTGGCCACCTCTGGGGAAGGATAGAAGTAGGTTCAGGGAAGGCTGTAAAGGGGGTTCAGTGCCACGTATCTGAATTATTTCTTTTAGAAATTGAGGGAACTCGGGGCGCCTGGGTGGCTTAGTCGGTTAAGCGTCCGACTTTCGCTTGGGTCATGATCTCGCGGTTCGTGGGTTCGAGCCCCGCGTCGGGCTCTGTGCTGACTGCCAGCTCAGAGCCTGGAGCCTGTTTCAGTCTGTGACTCCCTTTCTCTCTGACCCTCCCCTGCTCACGCTGTCTCTCTCTCTCTCTCTCTCTCTCCTAGAAATAAATAAAACATTAAAAAAAAAAAAAAAGAAATTGAGGGAACTGTGGGAGAATGATAAGATTTGACAAGGCTGAGTGGTGGGTCCCGGGTGGTCATTATATTGTTCTCTGCATGTATAAAATATAATTTCATAAAATTCATATATAGCTTTGATTTCATCATTGATGCATAAATTGAGTTTAGTAGATGCAAATGAACACGATTAGAGTGAAGCAGCACCTTGTTGCCATGTGTTCATTTTAAGATCGCAATGCTATGGAATTGATACCTTGATAAGTATCATTTTCTCTTTCTCCAAAAAGCATGAACACAGCAAAACAAGTGAAGCAAGCACAAATGGAATTTTAATACATTTTCTTTCTTTTTTTTTTTTTGGCTTGTTTGGTTTTTGTATAACTTTGGTATTTGGACTGATATTTGGAAACTTGAAAATATTGCTTTCTTCTTCACCGTAACCATTTTATTGTTTTAATGATAGAATTTTATCATTTTTTAAAAGTTTATTTGTTCATTTTGAGAGAGAGAGACAGCACAAGTGGGAAAGGGGCAGAGAGAGAGACTCCCAAGGAGGCTCTGCACTGCCAGCATAGAACCCGTTGCAGGGCTCAAACTCATGAACTGTGAGATCATGACCCACGCCAAAACCAAGAGTCAGGCTCAACCGACTGAGCCACCTGGGAACCTCTTAATGCTAGAATTTTAAATACACCACTAATTCATCCATGTTTTAACCTTAAAGGAGATTTAAGATAATATTTGAGTTTTCTCCTAATTACAACAAAATAGTATTTGATGTCTAATGAAATTTTGAAATACTAACAATCCTTAGACTAATTGAGTCAGCTTTTTTAGAATACTGTGAAGGAGATGTGTGATTTTAATGTTTCCTTCTGGCACCATCTACATTCTTTATTTCTTTCACTGCCATTGAATGTGTACTTGTATTTAAATAGTAGGGCCAATACATCAAAAATATTAGAATCCTCTTTTATTCTTTTTAATTTTTGTAATGTTTATTATTTTGAGAGAGAGAGAAAGAAACAGAGTGCAAGCGGGAGAGGGTCAAAGAGAGAGGGAGACACAGAATCTGAAGCAGGCTCCAAGCTCTGAACTGTCAGCACAGAGCCCAACGCGGGGCTCACCGCAGGATCATGACCTGAACCGAAGTCAGACGCTGAACCAACTGAACCACCAGGTGCCCCTAGATTCCCCTTTTAAAGTACAACCAGAAAAGACTTGAAAGGGAAGTTTCAAAAGTAAGAAAAATGTGGTCATTTCAGCTATGGAAATATAAAGAAAGGATTATATAAGGAAACACAACATCTTTTTTTTTTTTTTTTTTTAACCCTGCTGAGCCTCTGGTGGTAGTACTAAATGAATAGAAGCCGGAAGTTGCGGGGTAGAGTACTAAAAAGGACATACTGTTCAGAAAAAGAGCTCCAGAAATCTACACGTGATGTCCCCTTGAGTTTTGGGTGAGTACTAAGATGCATAGTACTGAGGTCAGACATGTAGGATGTAGGATGAAATGCCTGAGGTCAGGCAAAGCATCTGGGACAGCTCTGACTGAAACAGTTCCCAGAGTTTAAGTGGGGCTGTAGGATTTCAGGTTTCAACCAGCAAGAGTGGGAAGTCCTAAGCTTCATAATGGGAATGAGCTACCCCTAGAATAAAGGCTAACCTGCATGCTCCTTAACAAAGCTTAACAACAAGCCTTAGAAGAAAAAAACTGGGCTCAAATAACTTTAATGGCAACAAAAGAAAACAACTCAGACATTGAGCAACATGAAATTCTTCATGGCCAAAACTTTTCATCAAACACTGAATGCAGGAAAATGTCAGTAAACAGAAACAGACCCAGGAATGAAATTCACACACAAGCATATTGAAGCATATTATAATGACTTTTGTATAATGAGCATAATGAGAATATGAGAAGATATTTAAAATCCAAGTAGAACTTCTAGAGATGGAAATTACAATATCTAAAGCGAAAATGTCATTTGATGGAGTTAACAGAAGGTTGGTGTTCTTGAAGATACAGCATAAAATGTATCCAAAATGAAGCACAGAGAGGAAAAAAAGATTTATTTAAAGAAAATGAACAGGGCCACAGTAGCCTATGGGAAAATGAGAAGCACTCCAATTTAAGTGTGATAAAAGAAGGCCCTGAAAGAAGCAGGGCAGAAAGTATATTTAAAGAAATAATAATGGCCAAATATTTTTTACATTTGTTAAAAACTATAACCCACAGATTGGGGTTATAAACTATATATAGATATAGATATAGATATAGATATATAGATATATAAACTCAGTGAACCCCAAGTAAGATCAATACAAAGTAAACAACACCAACACATATCACAAACAAATTGCCAATAAACAAGTGATAATAATGTAAAAAATTGTAAAATGAACCAGAAAAAAATGAAACAGGAACAAAGAATAACTTCGGAATATTTTTCAGAAACCATGTAAGCCAGGTGATAATCAAATGATATTTTCAAAGTGCTAAAAGAAACTCAACCTAGATTCTGTATCTTGAATAAATATATTTCAAAAATGAAGGCTAAATAAAACTTTTGCAATAGAAAAACACTGAAAGAATTCATCTTCAGCAGACCATCAATACAAGATATAGTAAAGTAAGTTCCTCAAGTGAAAGGAAAATATCAAGTTTCCAAGTGGTAACTTGAATCTAAGCAAAGGAATAGGAAATGTAAGAAATGGTACATGTATAAGTTTGTAAAAAAAAAAAAAAAAAGACTTTGTTTTCTCATATTTTTAATTTTGTAAAGGATAATTGACCATTTAGAGCAAAAATAATGTATTATGGAAGACCAAGGAGCATGGGTGGCTCAGTCAGTTGAGCATTCAACTCTTGATTTCAACTCAGGTCATGATCCCAGGGTCATGGGATCAAACCCCACATCAGGCTCCATGCTGAGCGTGGAGCCTGCTTAAGATTCTCATTCTTTCTCTGTCTCTGTCTCTCCTTCCTTCCCTCTCCCTGTGCCCCTCTCCCCTGCTCGTGCTCTCTCTCTAAAAAAAAATATATAATTTAAAAAACATGGAGACATAAAATGTATAGCAGTGATCAAAAACATTAATGAGAAAATGGAACTGCATTAAGTTCCTACATGGTACATAAAGCAATTTAATGGTAAATTATGATAAAT